GCGAGCTTCTCGTAGGTGCCATCTTGGATCATCAAGTAGCGCATAAGGCCTTCTGGACCGCCGAGGACACCGGCCAGCTGGCCGTAGGCATTCGCCATCTCGGCGATACCCTCGGCCTCCTTCTTCTTAGAGAAGAACGCGGCTTCGGCTTCCTTCGTCTTCCGGTAGTCTATTACGATATGTTAGCGCGTGCTATGAAGGGCTAGGGGTGTGGCATTGCTCACAGGCAGCATCAGCTTCTTTCTGAGCTTTGTAGGCGGAACCATCCGCCCCTTTCACTTGACTGTAGTAAGTAGCATCAGCAGCCTGTTGAGCTGTCTCTTTTGCGATCTTGGACTTGGTGACGTCAATAGCCCTAAGACGCTCAAGCTCCATATCCGCGCGCTTGGTCTCGACCTCTCTCTGCAGTTCTGCATCCCTCTGCTCAGCCATACGCTTAGCCTTGATCTTGGCAAGATTAATATTCATGTCAAGTTCTGTTCTCTTCGTGGCGAGCTGGGCTTCGGCTGCAGCCTTTTCGCCCTGACGCTCTGTCTCGAGAACAGCAGTTGCGGCATCGATCTTGGAGATTTCCTGCTTGGTTCGGCCTTGCTTTTCCTTCTCACCGATCTCACCACGCATACGTGCTTCGGCTACGTCAACCTTGGCCTGGTTCAAAGCGCCCTCGTGAGCCTTGCGACTTAGAAACGCGAAGTACTCGCTCCCCGGGGTATCCTGGAGTTCCTTGACGTTGGCGTTATAGCTGAAGCGGGCGTCAATACCCAATCACTCACCGCAGGCATCACTAGGTAAGGCACTCACATGCGGAGACCAAACTGGTCGAGCTCGCTCTGGACGTTCTGGATGACTTTCTGTTTGAAAATCTGTCTCTCCTTGAAGATTTCTTCCATGCTCATACCACTGACGATGACACGAGTCTCGCCCTCGATGATGCCCTTGACAATGTCCTGGACATGGCTTCTCCCAGTGCTGGTAGCTTTTCCACTTTTGGTGGTAGGTGCGCCACCATCTGCCGATCCGGAGAGAAGCACAGCGTACTTTTCAAGGGCTTCTCTGTTGTCATCCGGACCTATGGTAAAAACCGCAGGCAGAGAAAATTGTAATTTTTCAATTGTCATGGCCTGTAGAGAGAGAGAAAAGTCGAACGGCGAGATGGAGATCTTCGCAACCTAGATGAAGCAGATATGTGAATAAGTTGAATGCATGGGTGAGGCAGTCGATGTGCAGCGCTCACTTTCTGCCATGGCATAACAAACGCCTTCTTAACGATTCTAACAGTCTCGATCCCTCCGCCAGTAATGGCGAGGTAGGAATTGGGTTCTGAAATATGATACCACATGGTGACCGGTGGTGAAAAAAAAATTGGTGATGATTGCTGAAGGCGAAGAGTGAGAGCGAGCTACTGAGTATGTGCGTAAAGTGAATAGTCGGTGGAATGGGGCGAGAGAGACATCATTTATACGAGTGGATTGGTTTGTGCGCACTGTGCAATTCGCGCGTTCCACTCTAGCTCGTCATCTAGACTCGTAATTTTAATTTGTTGCTGTTCTGTGGGGCTATGTTGAAAGATGCTGATGTATTGATTCTTGGCCGTTCACGACTGCACTAGCGAGAATGCGCAGTCTAGTGTGGGGACGCCCCGTTGGCTGCCTTGTGCGCCTTACAAATATCGAGAGCCAATACCTAGGCAACACCAAAAGAAGCCCCAGAAAATTTGTGGTGGATAAGGGATTTCTGTAACATGTTTACTTTCTAAGCTCTCGAATTTACCTTCAGATCCTCACCTTCACTTACGCACGGACACAGCGCCAATCATTAGGCACCATAATCACCAACTTAGGCACTGGTGGGCTTGTTATCCTCGACGTCATCATCTTGAGCTCACTCTACCTCGTCAGAGATCATACAAGCTTCTTTCTCCTTTTTTCCCGCCACTTATCGAAGAATTAACCATCCCAGCACCATGTTGGACCCCACTCTCGAACAGGAGCCAAAATATCGAGATGCTGATCTTGTACATCTCGATGTGTCAGGGAAACGCTTCTCACTCCCGAGGGCCGTGGTTTACAAATATCCCTTTTCACGACTGGCGGACATTTCCTGTGCCACCTCTCCGGCCTTCCCTGGCTTTGTTGATATGGATTCAGACGTATGTGTGTTATGCCGATATCCATCATATCATCTGACGAGTTAATAGGTATTCGCTGTTATTGTCAACTTCCTACGGTATGATGAGCTGCACATCCCCCCAACAATGAGTCCAGCTACAGTGCAACGAGCCCTTTCGAGTCTCGAAATCAACGGCCCAAACGTCCCTGTTGAGTCCACCCTTGCTGGGCCAAGTTCTAGAGACGCATTGTCCGGTTTACTGACGGAGGAGCCCATCCCAAGTTATGAGGAAAGTGTTCGCTCCACGCCACAGAAGAGTGACGTACCAGAGAAAGGGGATTCTCCAGATGTCGCAGATGCACAAGGCACAAAATCTCGTGCCTTCGTGAATCAGACGGTGGCCAGCCTGCAGGGAAAACTACCGACCCAAATTACCTCAGTCCGAGAGCAGCGAATACAAACACTCCTGGATAGCTATGTGCAACCCCTGCTTGACGAGCAAGGTCTATCCGGTTTATACAAGACAACCTTTATCCTCGTACCCTCAAACGTGGCACCACTCCAAGGCGGAAACTCACCGTCCGTCACCGATGACATTGAAGGCAGCACAACCGAAGACATTGTTGTCGGCTTCCCTTCTGAGGATTTCGTAAAACTCGTACGGCTGAAAGGTGCTGAGAACAAGCTCGAGTTCTGGCGGCAACCTGCCGTCGTCGACCAACTCGGCCGTCAGCTGAAAGCTCATCTCTATGGTGGAGGCCACAAGCTTGTATACGAGGAGCCTCTGCCAAACGCGGACGCTGAAGTGTTACCGCCAATGGGGGGGAGTACACGCTCTCTATTCGGTCGGAGAGGCAGCAAACTAGCGGAACTCGACCGCCTAGAGGAGAGGCGCCTTGAACGAGGTCTCTTTCGAGGAGGCTGGCGAGCCCCGAATGAATTGCCTTCAGGCCGTCAGAAACTTGAGCCTGGGGAGATACAGGTTGATGTGAGCGTCAGTGATGTGAGTCTTCGAGTCGTTACAGACATGGGTCTGTATGAGACAAAAACCGGAAGCGCTGTAATTTTGACAATCGAGGTTGGAAGTTGAATCGATTGATTATTCAGATCTTTTATCTACGAGATCTCGAATTGGGGAGGTGGCGTTGGCGGATCTAACTTGTACTATACCTTGCAATATTTTATCCGCGATATTTACGTCTGCCCCTTTGCCATTTGCATCTCCCAGCACATGGTAATTGAGGCACCTACCTTGGCTCTTGGCTGCAAGCGATGATCGGTACCATAAGCCCAGCGTCGTCAACTTCCAAAGATAACCAGAACAATTGACTCCCGAATAGGCCTGCGTGGAGTTATGTCCCAGGAGCCCCACAAACCCTTCATTACCCAGGCTGACACTGAACTCAGAGGCAGCAGGAGGGAAGCCAGTGATGAGACAAACCAAATTGCGTAAAGCGCTTTGCCCCACGCATTATGCTCTCGAAATTACCGAAGCTGAGCAAACTGACGCACGAAAGCACATAGAAAGACAACGGATGAGCCCCAGCATAAGATCTTCCCAACCTGCGAGTGAACAATGCAAACATAGCCTTGAAGAATGCAAGGCTTACGGAACCCATACAGAAATTAACAATTAAACCCGTCGAACTATCAAGGCGCGGCCGGTTGAACACAATGCCCAGCTAGCCGAAGGTCCTCAGGTAAGGCTGAGAGCATCGTACCTCTAGTTACGCCCCTCGAGTAATTTCCTCTCAAACTCAATAATATTTGCTACCGCCACCCTTTTTGGTTGGTGGTAGCCTTGTTGTGGCTAAGCCGCACGAGGCTGAAAGCCGGGCTTGGCCGACTAAATAAGCGGGAGAGTTGGTACGTAGGGAAGGCTGAGTTATTTTTGTTGAAGGACGGTGTGAGGATTGAGGGGACCAAGATGCTTGGAAAGGGAGGAGAGCTGGGTAAGCTCGGTGACGGGAGCCTACGTTTTAAAGGGCAGTGACCATCGTTGGATCGAACAATTTATTCTCAGCCGTGCGGCTCAAGTAAACCTCCGTCCAGCAGCCTTCTGGTTCAAATAGGCGGTAAATATTTTCATTAGTCCCAGCGCTTATGCGGTTTCATCGCATCGATGTTCTAGATGCACAGGGAACATGGGAAAACCAAGAAGTCATTGGAAGGAGTTGTGCCATGATAAAATAGCCGACTGATGCATATGCAGGTGTATTTTTTGGGGTTGGTGAAACGCCAACACGGCGGTTAGGCTATACGTTTTGGGAAGATGGAAATGGGTTATCATATCAGTCACGGAAAGACAGAAAAAGGGGGCAATGGCTAGAGGTACAGCGTATTTCCCCTCAGGAAACGTTATCGTCAAATGACTAACCACCTCCCCTCTGAGCAAACACTCCGCACCGACCGATACCATGCGTGAAACTTATGTCCCCCTCAGCTTTTATGGAGAAGACCGGCATCAGCGCCATAAACCCATAGGGTACTGTTAGTATAGTTGGCATGTATGTAGATAGTTAGAAATTCAAGAGCGGTGAGTAGAATACACTTGAACTGAGGACGCCGACAGAATAAACTCTCCTATCCATATTTGGGAATGAGAGCCATCTACCTCGGGCTATTTCCATCACCAGAGAGGATGGTGAGAGACTCGGCATGGATAGAACAGAGCTGTCATCCTCTCGTGTCTCGATGAAATACTGCGTGCTTAATTAGGTCGCAAATATTTCCACCAAGCCCAAATGGATCTGGACAGTCAAGGGGTTCATGAAGCTTAATATTAAAAACCAAAGGATACGGGAACAGTGATAGCAGATCATCGAGAAAAAAAAACTGCTCTGGGAATTATAAAGAGAGAGAGTCTTGGAAAAAATAGCAAAAAATTATGCCGCCATGGGTGGGACTCGAACCCACAGCCTTGCGGTTCACTCGTTGTAAAAGCCGCACGCGCTAGCCGATTGCGCCACCACGGCTGCCATAGAATAAGCGTCCCTTAAGCCAGCACAAATACCCCAACCAGACGGAAATATGCGCCAAGCCCAACAGAATGCAGAATTAATTCAAATAGCCCAGGATTAAATAACGCCCAAGTATCAGGTCAAAATACTAGCAGCAGCAGGTATTGAGTCCACATATTCCCATGGACTACATAAATATTGGAGATGCAGGTGTACCTCTGATATTCCGTAATTGAAAAATGGCCTCATCACTAGCTTCGCATACCGCGGTAAGATTTTGGGACCGTGCACTTGGATCCAACGCAACGACGGCGAGTAAAATCGAGCTTTTCACTTCTTCCATACCTACCTATATGGTGGGGCGATGATGGGGGTCAGTAGTGACAGCGATTCGGTGGGGTGGAGTTAATACAGCTGTCCCGACAAGAGAAATGAGAAAATATATGGAGTCTCTTGGAAATCGCGATAGGGCTCTTCCGTCCAAAATGAGCCATCATCTATACTGCTTGCTGTGCACCCTTTTTTGTTTACTACTAGCTAGCACTAAAATGGAACTTGGCCCCAGGTAACATCCACCCATTATTCACCATGAAATGCCTGTATTAAACCTTTCCCTGTCGTATGATGGTGGTTAACTCAATCATAGAATCTAAAAAGGGAGATCTGATAAAATATGGTGGAAATCTTATGCAGCTGGAGGATACGTGACCGTCGGCCGTCGAGCTAGACAGCCGTCGGTTCATATCGCTGCGAGTAGGACTAGAGGCTGTCTGCTAATCGCCAAGCTACTGTTGAAGATTGGTGGTACATAGCGTCTTTGTTATAAAATGCCGGATCATGATAAGAAGAAATCAAGGATGCGTGGTGATACATAAGAATAACGGCTCTTGAACGGAAATCCAATCTCATCCGACCCAACCCGTGAACGCCGAACCTAGAGACTTGGCTAAGTCCCATTTGACACCGCATATATTTTCCTTACTTTCTTGCCCTGTCCCGAACCACCATCTTCCCTCTTCCGTTTTGTCGATGCCCGGCTCGATCCCCCCTTTGGCCTATAGCCTGGGTCATCGTCGCCCCTCTTTCTCTTCATCACGCCGCTAGCCCTCCTTACAGCGGGCATACCAGGCTGTTCCATGACACTCCAATCCTCGTCCTCATTCGTCTCGGTTTTGACGCCAACTCTCTTCGGGGTCTCCTTTGCACCTCTCGGATGTGCCGAACGTCCCGTGGGTCCGGACTTCGTGCTGCTTGTGCCATCGCCGCCTGCATGTTCATTGTCCTGTAGAAAGACTTGCGGCTGATGGCGTCGTAACCAGTTATACACAGAAACGGGATTGCGTGTTTGGAGGTCGCGATCGGCTGTTTTGCTGCTGACTTGGTTGGTAGCGGTGGTAGCTTGCGTGCTAAGGTGACGGGGGATTATCGGGGGCGATGTGCTAAGTGAAGCGTCCAACGTATAGAGATAGTCTTCTTCCAGCGTTGGGGTAATGAGAAAGGGGGGGTGGAAGAGGGTGCTTGTCAGGCCGGGAGAGTGGAGGTCTTCCGGTAAGTCCTCCTGGTTAACAGGTAGGGAGGTATGGGGTGTCGAGAGGATTGCGTGAAATGGCTTAGGTACCGCACGGCCTCTGCAATGTTTTTTCGCAGCCTTAGACTCCCAGTGGGCACGGAGCTGGTCGTAGGATTCTGGGGGGATTTCACCGGCGACGAGTTCCTCTCGGGCTTCCTCCAAAGCATTACGCGCAGCATCGGAGTCGTAGGACCTAGCGGAGTCGCTTCCTTCGTCGTATTCGAGGCTAGGGACAGCATGTGAAGGGAGGGGGGATGATACTGGAGAGCCGAGGTCAAATCGGTGGTGAGGAGGAATGTGGTCGGAGTCGTTAATGTCGAGAAGAAGCTCGAGAAGTTGGCTGTAACATCATTATTAACAGGAACAAGTTATCCAAGGTGTCATTAAAAGTGTGGAATACTCATTCTCCTGTGCTAATCTTCGTACGGTCTCACTTGCTCTTCGCTCCTCTTTGAATAGTGATTCGCTTTCCCTCATAACATGGTCAAACTGGAGTTTCATCTTGCGAAACTTTTTCCTGTTCTCCGATCGAGTTAGCGCTCACTAAAGTCAAGGTTAGGAGGTTTTGACCAGACCTGTAGGACTTGTATGTAGTTTTTGCCTCGACTGGCTCTGGAGGCTCCATAGATAGGCCCCCTCCGGGAACCGCTGCTAGAGCTTCGAATGCCATATTCGGGTGGATGGCGATGTTGTAGTTTGACAGGGTATCAGCTTCGCGACGAGGCGTTCCTCTTGAGGCGGCGAAGTAAATTTATTAATCCGTTTTTGGTTTGGCGTGCATATGGAACCGAGACCTTCCTTTTTTCTTCCACTCGCAATTCACACAATCTTGATAGCCACCTAGAGGATCTCCAGATCCAAAGCAATTGCAACAACTACAGGTTTAAAACCAGAGAAGGAGAGGAGAGGAGCGAAAAATATTCCTAAGGCCCCTTCTAGTGGAATCACCGCTGTTGTGCAGCCCTCCACAAACATTGATATGGAAACGGAAACGAGTCAAGATGCAGGCCCGACTAAAAAACGCAAGAGGGAAAGCATGCCGATGGAGGAAATAGAAGTGGACGTAACAGCCCCGGAACCGCCATCAAAAAGGGCACTACGGCGAGCTAAGAAAGGCAAACCAATTAGCACAACTGCTTCCAAGCCTACCAAGAAGAACGGTGCTCTTGCTTCGGATCTAGATTCTGACGGAGACAACAAGAAAACGAAGAGATCAGATCACGGTATCTGGATCGGAAACCTCCCCTTCTCGTTCACAAAGGTGGATCTGCGCAAATTTTTGACAGAGAACTCTTCGATCACGGATGACCAGATTACAAGAGTGCACCTTCCACTGCCTAATGGTCCAGGCGCTATTCATCCGGCGCGGAAGCTCAAGCCACAGAATAAAGGCTTCGCATATGTCGACCTTTCCGCCGAGTCTGTGCTAAACGAGGCATTGGAACTGAGCGAGACGCTGATTTCCGGCCGTCGTGTCTTAATCAAGAATGCTAAATCTTTTGAAGGCCGGCCAGAGAAGGCAAATGATGCTACTTTGGCTAGAGATTCGGGGGCAGTGAAGGGCGGTAAACCATCAAGCAAGAAGATATTTGTCGGAAATTTAAGTTTCGACACTACGGAGGAGGATCTCAGGGAACATTTTGGCCGTTGTGGAGAGGTTAAGACCGTGTTTGTGGCCACATTTGAGGACTCAGGGAAGTGCAAAGGCTTTGCGCTGGTAGAGTTTGAGGATTTGGAGGCGGCAGAAGCAGCAGTGAGGGGGTGGGTAAAGGTGCCTATCATGGAGGAAGAAGAGAGCGAGGATACTGAAGCAACTGGAGGGTCAAATGGGGAGAGGGAGAACGAGGAGAAGGGTAACCGTATGAGGAAGTGGTGGGTTAACAGAATTAGGGGCCGTGCATTACGAATGGAGTTTGCGGAGGACAAAGTCGTAAGATATAAGAAGCGCTTCGGGAAAGGTGGGACGGTTAAGATGACTGCAATGAAACATGCAGATGCAACGGGCCCAGATTTTGCGGAGGTTGATGGAGAATCAGCCGCTGCTGATATATCGGAACCCTCTAAGCCACCACCTAGGAAGAATTTCGATGGAAAGGAGAGACCGGAGAGATTTGTGAGAGCACCGAGGAAAGTCGATGCGAGGACAATCAGGCCTGGGGCGGCTTTGGCGAACGCGCAGAGAAAGACTGGTGGGATTGTTCAGAGTAAAGGGACGAAAATTACTTTTGATGACTGAAAAGAATATTTAGAGCTGGTCTATGAATCTTGTGGAATAGATGTTTACGCCTCTCTTCACAAAATAGCTTTAAAGCGGACCCTGCGAGGCCGTTCAAAGACACTGAACCCACCCTTTAGTGCTTGACCCCCTTAGCATCCGTAGCATCCGTAGAACCCTCTGTACCAACCCAAATCCAAAGGATATCGTCCATACTTCAGCCTTCAGAATCTCAAATACCAAAGAAAACCACTTAAGCCGTTAATCTTAGGGCTTATTGTTATCTGTCATTACAGTATTCGAGATAGTCCGCCATTCTTCACCGGAAGCTTCCATTTGAGCTAGGCCTCCTCTGGCCTATGAATTTCCTGGTGCTCGGGAGATTGAATAAGATTTGATCATAAGAGCGACGTGCATTATGGCCAATACGGGAGAGTGCTAAACAGCTGGATAGTGTCTGAGCTGGTTTGATGAGTATATCGAGCTTACGTTTTATAGTACAACTTGTACTTGACTCTATGATATTCTGTTAGGGTGGTGCGATGTACGAAGTCGTAGTAGGGTGCAAATAGCTCAATTTCATCATACACCTAAAGTTTGGCCCACGGTGCAAGTAAATGCGAATGGTCTTCTCACTTTCTTTCCACTAAACCCGTGGGGCAATCAGCAAGAGTGAATAGCCATTCCACCCACTCAAAGTATCTAAAGGCCCGGAAGATATACCCCGCATCTTGCACGTTCTGGAGGTTGTTGCGCATGTGTCGTAGTGCTGAGGCTTTGGTCATCATCACTTTCGTCTTGTCTTCCGTGCGAATACATGCAACCTTCCTCGAGGCGGCGCCGATCTTGTCGGTCCAGAGGTGTTTGATTGGGTCATCCAGTCTTCTATCTCTGTTCATCTAACCCTTATTCCTTATTGTCCTGATTGTAAGCTTCCGGCGAGCCGAGCAAGAGTACGATAGATTCCAACCCATTTAGGCCAAGGCAAGCCGGGTCAATTCACCGACTTCCTGCTTAGTGAATTAAGCTATTCGGGGTTATTTCGTTCAATTGTTTCCAGGGTAACTTCTCTCCCGTGTGTTCTCCAGCGGTAGCCTGAATGAACTTATTCTCAATCCTCCAATATCTTAAGCATCACAATCCAGATTGCTTGCATCGGCTTCGGTAAACAAGCGCAAAGGCTGTGGTAACCCTTCGACTACATCGTCTACCACCGCAATCGCATCTACC